AGGTCAATCTCTAGGCGTCATTTACTAAAAAATGACATAAAATTTGTCAAAAATAACACTAATTATGGACAGGTTAAAAAAGAATAGAATGTTTCCAGACACACATATCTATTTCCAAAATTTATTTTTTCTCGAACAAATATCTAAAGGTGCGTATTCATTATCCGCACGAACGAACGAACGAACGAATGTTCGCTAGTGGTATGGACGGGGACCGCACGATAGAACCGCACGAGAAGACCGCACGCATTTCTTCATTCGCGCGCCAGTTCAAATCGTCAAGATATTGTTATAAACCTGTTTTTTTTTTGTTTATATACCGTCATTGAATTATCGCTAAGCAAGTTACTATGGAGCAGTGCATAGAGGAGTCGGGCTAGGGAAGCGAGACCGGAGTTTGAATCTCGGCCGGAACATCACTTTTTTTTTTTTTAAATACTGTTGTATTCTATAGTTTATTTTTGTAGTATAAGAAAAAGGAACTATTTATTCTGTTATTTTTAATCTCCGTTATTAATATAAATTGATTGTTAGTACAATACCTCATTTAATATAAAATAATATTCTACTTTTGAAATGTATCAGGCCCTAAATTGTACTTAAAAGTAATATATTTTTTAGTGATATACCATATTGTAAACTATTTAATAGCTTCAGTCGCTTAAAAGTTAATTTGCATTGAATAATTGCCTACCATTAAAGGAAATTTGAGCTATATAACCCTTGATGGGCATATTCTGGGTATGCAAATACTACTAAAATTTTGGGTGTGGTTCAACCGATTTATTCTCAAAACCAGAAACATCTACATATAAAAAAGAAGCACAGGTCACTAATTATAATAAACTTCACCCTTGGTATTACTTCCACTAATTATAATAAACTTCACCCTTGGAGATTATCATTTCTATCACAATTACAATACGTTCATCTGCATTGGCATTTTCTACTTTTCGATGGGAAACAATAAACTTCCCAACATTTTTTAAATGATGTAACAATTCCTCTTGTGGTTACTTTTCCATAGATATCCTCATCTCTGTCCTCATGTGAATTCAGGAGGCAATAAAATGAAAATTATTTACCATAAACATCGCAAACTAAAAACCTAATAAACAATTTTATACCGAATATAGAAATAAATTTAGTATTTTTACCTATCATCGTCCAAATCCATGTTAATAGATAATTATTATTTTTAAATATATTTTTGGAACTGCTGGTTTTAGTAATTATTAAATTAAACGAACTAAAAAGTCTTAAAAATAAACAATTCTTAACCATAACCTCTCAAAATGCAGATCTCCTGTCAACTTTCTTTTTATTTTTATTTATTCATTATTTTCCTAGTGACGTCACAGGTGGTATGCGCGAACTGAACGAAATTGGAGCCGCTATCGGTCAAACCTTGTATTCTTTGTACCATGACGTCTAAACGCCTTTGATGTACCGACTCGAAGCGGATGGTCGAGCGCACGAACGAACGAACGGCCGCATGCGTTCGGTCCCCGTCTAAATATACCGCACTTTCATTCGTTCGTTCGTTCGTTCGTTCGTTCGTTCGTTCGGATAATGAATACGCACCTTAAATCTGAAAGCGCACGCAGATGGCGAACGCCTTTGATGTACCGACTGGAAGCGGATGGTCGAGCGCGCGACCGAACGAACGGCCGCATGCGTTCGGTCCCCTGGTCTAAATATACCGCACTTTCATTTCGTTCGTTCGTTCGTTCGTTCGTTCGTTCGTTCCGGATAATGAATACGCACCTTAAATCTGAAAGCGCACGCAGGCGAACGCCTTTGATGTACCGACTGGAAGCGGATGGTCGAGCGCACGACCGAACGAACGGCCGCATGCGTTCGGTCCCCGTCTAAATATACCGCACTTTCATTCGTTCGTTCGTTCGTTCGTTCGTTCGTTCGTTCGGATAATGAATACGCACCTTAAATCTGAAAGCGCACGCAGGCGAACGCCTTTGATGTACCGACTGGAAGCGGATGGTCGAGCGCACGACCGAACGAACGGCCGCATGCGTTCGGTCCCCGTCTAAATATACCGCACTTTCATTCGTTCGTTCGTTCGTTCGTTCGTTCGTTCGTTCGGATAATGAATACGCACCTTAAATCTGAAAGCGCACGCAGGCGAACGCCTTTGATGTACCGACTGGAAGCGGATGGTCGAGCGCACGACCGAACGAACGGCCGCATGCGTTCGGTCCCCGTCTAAATATACCGCACTTTCATTCGTTTGCAATTTTTTTTTTGATTTCAGAATAGTTTCTCTATTTGTAATATTTTTTAAGGAAGGTTGAAAAAAATATATTTTTTATTTATTTATTAATATTCTGAAATTATCGAAATACATTTACTCATAATATATTAAGATTATGTAAAGTAATCTAAAAGAAAACCAAAAAATGCAATAGTAGACAGGGTGTTCCATTTAAAAAAAATCATCTCGATCCACTCACACTTTTCAAAAATCCTATAGAAGTTAAAATATTTTCCTTAAATACATCCTCATCCTCATCCTTTCCTTAAATACATCCTCAACATACTTTAGGTTGGTACTTCTCACAAAATTATCAAGTTTTTTATTCTAGGAGTTACAGATGCCCGACGCACTATTGGCACTATTGCCGGCCCTGTATAATAATAAGAACTAAATCAATTATTAATTACTATTAGAAATTAACATTTAAAGATTAGTTTAGTGGTATTATTTATTAATTGTTTTAGTATATTCAGTTAATATACTATTAATTAAATCTGTTACGTTTTCGAGTTAATACAGCATTATTATGACGTATTAATGACGTATGGCTATATACTTTTCAAATTTGAACTAAATTAGTACCGTTCACATTTTCTTAAACTTTTCAGGTATTTTTATGACGTAATTATAATGACGTAAAATATAAAAGATGACGCAGAAATAATAGAAAATAAATAATTACAAGTAAAGGTTCCCAAGTAGCATTTTCACGACTTGCGACCACATGTTTACTAATCACAACGTTCGATTAGTTACAAAAAATAGTTAGCTCCCTTTACTGCCCAGGTGAAATTAAAAAATTAAATTTAAACGTTTTTATAACGTTATTGCCGACCGTTGGTTCTAGTACTACAGCAAAGTAGGAAGCTTCTGACGTCGAATAAACGTTGTCTTGTAACCTTTTTTGCTTAAATGTGATCTTTAGGGTGATTCGGACAACGTAGTTACAATAGTTGGACAATTATAGAGGATTTTCCGACGTCAGTTTCTGGACCTATTCCAACGTTATGCAAACGTCGTCTGTTTTACTAATTCCAACGTTGTTTTAGATTTCCTTATTCTTACGTTGGTAGGACGTCGAGTCACTACCTTTTGCAACTGTATTGAACCATAACCTTAAATTTTAAATTTTCACTTCATTGTTCTGTTCAGTCAGACTGCTGTTTTGTTTTATAAAAAAAAACTTAATTAAAATGGGACATATGAAAGGTACATATAAAACTAAATTTAAATATACATCGACACATATTATTCATGGTTTATCCACTCCTCGTTTATTTATGTTATAGAGGGCGGCACAAGCTAGACTCTAGGATGACTAAATTAGGCAATCTTGCGACTAGTATACTACCTGTTAAAGGCCCAACTGCGACTTTATTGGTCCAGTATGCGACTACTGAACTACTCCATCTTAATCTCCAAAACAACAAAGTGAAAAGCCGCCATGTTGTTCAAATAAGAAAATGTTTCTGTTCCTAAAATAGCAATTCCTGCTTTTGAATACATTAACTTGAAATATTTGACCTAAAAACACGCGGAAACAATTTTTTCGACTGCGAATAAATTATTCTCATTTTACTAAAAAAATCAAGAGAAAATTTTTAAAACTCTCTAATTTTAAGGCCCATTAGAATTTTTTCAAAGTAGAAACAATACATTTATCAATAAAGTTGTTTTGCGTTTAACTTTTTTGCCTTGGGTAACGAAAAGTTACAGAGTCGGTTAAAAGTGTTTCAATAATTATGATCTTCAAACATCCTCCACACTTAAATACTTTTGTTTTGTTTTCCTTCACTGCCATCTGACGCATATGTCTCTAACTAAATCATAAAAAGTAATATTTTTACTATAATTATCCCAATTTAGGGATAAAACGCGACTTAGACGCCATATTATTAGTTTTGTATTTCTGTGAATTAGGATTTTTAAACAACGTTGCAGTTTGTACTAAATTGGGCTTCTAGCCAACGTCGGTATCCAACGTCGTTTCGACCCAAAAATTATTCTCCAAACTAGTGCAGACTAGGGTTGGCACGAGGTTGTGCCGACGTTGCGCCCCGACGTTTGGTCGCGTGACACAACGTTGTCCCGACGTCCAAATGCTGCTTGGGTTGAGAATTTTAGAAAGTGATAGATATAGTACAATGTGATCGAAAAACAACGATGGCTATGAAATGAAGATGGCTGTTATTTTATATGTAAAATTATATGGGGAATGTCATCGATGGTCATTTCCAAAGACATCTAAATAAAAGGAGACGAAACAATTTACATTTTACCGCGATCACGAACCGTGTTGCACAAAAATCGATGATGCCAATTTTAAGTGACCGGTGGTAGATTTCGGCTGATTACGGTTTGAGTTCTAAATGCTATTGTCATTACAAGGTCATTAGACTAAATATTTGTGTAGATATATAATTTTAATTATAATACATTAATTATACTAGGATTATACCTTTGAAATTATTATTAGTTTTCTAATTAAATTATATTAAAATTACGATTAAAAATATATTAGGAAATTACTAAGACAATCCGGCATCGCTACGGATTAATTTTTTACTACGAATTGTCGGAATCTGTAGAAATTACGCTGACATTTGACGTATTCATTCAACTTTTGTCCAACGGAGCATTGTTGCGAGTTTTCTGCGACCGTTGGAAGTGTTTGTGGATTTCGGACAACTTTCGAATAATTATTAGTGTTTATTGCAAAGAGAAACTATTTAAAGTAGTTTTTAACTATCTACAATGGTTCGCCAGTGCATAGTTTGTGAAAGGTGGACTATTCTAACTCCTGATTGATATTTGGACGGTAAGTGTTATTACATTTTTTTACCTTTTAGCAATGCCTTTACAGTAGCGTATCTAAGTACTTTTAGTTATAAGTAGATTATTACAAAATACGTATATTTTCATATTTGCTGGCGTTTTTGATTGTGAAATTAGACTTATCTGTAGTATCGTATCACCGACTTATCCTCAGTTAGACCTCAGGCAAAACCTTGGCAAAACCGATCTACGTTTTAAGTCAATTATTTTAAGTATTTGTCCATTTCTGCTGTTACAGTTGGTGGTAAAAAAATGCTCACGGGTAATACTGACTGTTCTCAACTTAACATTTAAAAACCTTTTTTATATTATATATCTAAGTACCAACTAACATTCGAAACCGCTATAAATATCTTAAAAATTGTGTATGTTATGGCTAATATCTGCTGAAATAAGCTGTTGCTGTTATAGGTAGGTAGTTAATACCTGAAATTTGAACACGATTTGAACATCAAAATTATTCAGTTATATTCTATATTAACTATGTACCTATATATATGCTAAATTAGTATGACAAAGTTAGCTAATGTTCAATTAAAGACATTTAATTTTTGTAATTACTTCAGACTTTGGCTAGATAATTTCCACATTTCTCCCCCAATGTTGAAAGAAAACTGTTTTTGCAATCTAAATATTAATATTATTGAACTCTAGTTAACATTAGCAGGTTTTAGATATTAACCGTAACACATATGATTGATCTATTTATTTATTATAAAAAATTCTATAAGTAATTACATAATAGGTAAGGTTTAGATATAGGTATTCAAAATTCAAATTAAAAAAGTTAATAAAATAAATAAAATTATAATGATGCTTCAGTACTTAAAAAATATGCACTGTTTTGAATGATAATGATAAGCCTTACTTATGATAATTCTTTACTCTTTCATTTATGATATTTTTTTTTTTTTTAGTTTTGTAACCCTTTACACTTTTACCCACACTTACCTATACACCCACACACACACAATTCACAGACGAGTACATATCTGGTGTTTTAAATAGAGGAAAATAAACCTTGGAAAATTTTTCCTTTAGGTTAATTTTTCCTTTTTTTTACCGCATATTTTTATTATTTTACATATATTATTAAATAGATTTATAATACTTAATATGTATGTGTTGCATATTTAACCAATAGTACTTTTGTAGCGTTCCTATAAATACTGAACTTAGACAATGATCGATTTCACTCTTGAATTTGAAAAATCAAACTAACGTGTGTCCAAATTTGTTCTGATGATTTTGATAAGAGCAATATTATGATCGCCGAATTAACTGATCGAAGGCAAATAAGACCAAATTCTGAGCCTCAAATAGATAGTACCATTTTTGTTGGGGCTTTATCATACAGGTAAAAAGCAGTCAAATACATTTTAACAGTTAATAAATAAGTATTGTACTAATATTAGTATTTACTCTAGGTTTTCTTCTAGTTTGTACCGCCACCCAAAAAATGTTTTAGGAAAATGAACCTCCAGACCAGCTGAGGGACTAGAGAAGGTCCCTACCTAGTCCCGCGTTTGGCAGTTTGGCTGGCCCCTCAAATTTGTAAGAACATTGATACATTTTATACATGTATTTTAATATTGATAATTAATTAAAATTCACAGGATTTTGCCTAAAATCATACAAGATAAACTAGCCCTTCTCAAGAAGCCCTACCCTCAAAACAACAGAAACGGCATTGGAAAAAGAAGTTGGAATTAACCAGTATGTGCTCTTTGTAAGTGTATTCTGGATGTTTGACTGACAAGGCTTAAAAGCTCTTGTATTTTTAACAGAATGGGAATATAGCTGTATTCATAACAAAGTAATATATATAATAATATAATAATAATATAAAATGGCTAATGTTTATCTGTGTCGTCTCTACTGAAGTAACGACTTGCTCTAGAAAGTTGCTTTTTTTTACTAAAAGATAGCTAATTGGCTCTTCTAAAAACTGTCATCACCGGATTTTTTGTTTTTCATTTAATTAAAAAAAAATAAAAAGTATTTTTTTTTCCTGATGTTGTGGCGGATGCGCCAGGCTTCAACTAGTATGTAATATATTTTAAATGAAATACTCTCATTATAACTATTATTGTCAAGTAGTGTACTGTGCCTTATTGAATACAGGTGTACACCCTCTTGCGAAGTATTTACTTTTAACATACAGGGTGTCACAATAGTAAGTTTAATTTTGACATATCCAGGTATTTCTTTAAAAAAATAGAGACGCATGAAATTTCGTAGACACAATTTTTGCGGTAAAAATCTAAATACATTCTTAATCATACTTTTGACGTAACTATAGTAGACGGGATACTTTGACACATTGAGCTTTTTCAAAATAACATTTTTTCTGCTTTTGTTTGCCGTCTTAATTATTTAAAAATTGACATCTCTATCTTTCTTGCAGAAAAGGGGACATTTTTTTTATGTCATTAAAGGCAGTAATAGATTTCAAGGAAGCTGTTATAATATCTAATAGAACAATATAGCGTAACTATAACATTACTAATATCACTTTGTATCTTATTAATTAAGCACTTTATGGGTTTTACTTCCCTATCTTAATTTTTATTATAAAATACGAGACTTGTTGCTTCTCATTGTCAAGCTTTATCGGTCGAATATCCAGAAACCCTGTATAATTAACATAGCTATCTTTTATTTTTATATGTTTTGTCAAGGATATGTTATTTGGAATTATCTTCCACATTATAAGATCATAAACTACATAATTTTGCCATAGTGTTGGTTTTGTTTACATATATTTTCTATGAGTGAGCTTTTGTTTTGCACTAGGAAACATTCTCGCTTAATGATAAATTTAATACTATAGAAGGAAATTATTAGTATTTAGGAAAAAATTAAAAACGAAAATAGGTTTTATTGAAAAATTAATTATTAATGTTTTTTTGTTTGTTTACAGCATAGTAAGACAATCCTCATCTTCTGATCTCTCAATAGTTGGATATTTATTATCTCAAGAAAGTCGTCAAAGTATCAGAAAAAGGTAAAAATTACCTCTACATTATATACAAGGTGGTGCCTCTCCTACGACGCGGAGGCTCCAAAGAGAACGGTGGTTTTTATCGTTAATGTAATTTTGGGAGCATATGTAGGATAATGGAAAGCATTTTATAGAAATATCAAGAGTTCTGCGCGGTGTCCCCAAAGTTATGCATCAAAGTTTTTTTTTTTGTAATGGAACACCTATATATTAATTGATTTTCGGATTCTAGGAAAGAAATAAAAGTGAGTTTCGTTAAAGAAGCATATGTCTAAAATGTAAGGCTTGTCATATTTCACATTTGGTGAAAATAATGAATAAACTTTAAATTTCAATAACAGCTACCTAGATGGAAATTTACTCATTGTATATTTAACCAAATTAAAATTTGACCTTAAGCATTCTATTAATTGATGAATGCACACTGCAATTAAAAGATCGGAATAGTATTCTGGGTGTTCAAATAAAAGGGAACTTGCTGTGTTCATTTCAAATAAAAGGGAATAAAATTACATTTTAGTCCAATAATGAAATTCACCTTTATTTTTCTCATAGAATCCGAAAATCAAATAATATATAAGGTGTCCCATTCCAAAAAACAAAACTTTGTTGTGTAACTTTTTTGGCGACACCCTGTAGAACTCCATATTTTAAAAAAACACATATTTTATCACATTTATATGTTTAAATGCTCTAAATTAACCTACATATACTCCCAAAATTTAATTTCAATACAAACTCTTTCTCCTTGGTAGCATTTAAGAGGCGCCACCCTGTATCTTAAGTAAAATTGTGCATAAGTTATTTTAATTTCAGAAAGAAGTATGTTAATGAGGCATTATAATGATATTATGTAGAAATTTAAGTCTTGTAAAAATTTGGAAACAAAGAAAATGAAAAATACATACTTTACAAATAGGTCTTAGAAGATTGAAAAATAAAATAATATCAATGCATCAGTTAATTGATTACTTAAAAGAAAAATCTTTGATAAGTGAATCAACTGAATTGACCATTCAGGTATGAATATAGGTATGCAGGGTGACATTTTAAAAACATAATGGTTATAAGTCAAAGGTTATATGTGAGGATCCAAAAAAATATAAAAATCAAGTAAAAATCGCTAAAAGCAATTTCTAATAATTGAAGCTGTATCTCTTACTGTTTCTGAGATCCCAGTGCTTGTAATTATTATCTTGGACACACTATTTTATGTATATATTTGAGTGGCGGGCGGAGGGGAACTATAATAATGTAAAGTTATCGGCCATTTAATAATTTAGTCCTACAGCCATTATGTCAAAATCTGTCCCCAAGATTCATTAACAAGTTTTAAATTTAGTTCTGGTCTAATTTTGTGAATGATACACTAATCCATATGACAGTGGCATAAATACGATTAATGGAAGGTTCTAATTTCCATGACAAGGCCAGGTCTAAATTTTAAAACCCTTTAGTGAATTTGGTTGTGTCTAAAAAAGACTAATAATAATATTATAGAGATATAACATTAATAGAGATAATATATGTTTTTTTAGGTTTCCTTAGCTGAACCAGTACAAAGTATTTTTGAAAGAATGTTAAAAGGACCTGCCACACAAAAATCCAATCTTCTGCTACTATCCTTTGCTTTAACATTGTCATTTTATTCGCCGAAAACATAGAATTTTATAAGGGATACATAAACTGGCCCAGAGTTTTCTTAGGAGGCCTCTAAATTCCATTTAGTTTTCAACAATATTTTTGATATTTTTAACTCTCAGAATGGATTTACAAAATATTCATATAAAAAAATTATCAAAAATATAAGAACAACATACTTTTTAATAATTTTGAAATAATTAAATTGTATATTGGACTTACTTTAAAAGAAAGGTCAACCATAGTCACAAAGAAAAACAGGATTTTTGGGCTTTCTAATTTGTATGGAAAGCTTACAACGTATGTATAAATAATACTATGTAAAAGAAAATCAATTATTGAAATATATTTTGACTAACTGGTGGAGGTCCACGTATACAAAAAAGCAAAAAAACGGAAGATAATAATATATTCAATTAATGTAAAATGAGAGAAAGAGCATTGTGGGATTAAAAACATGATGGTGATAGATTGTCTAAAACTAATAGAATTACTGGTATTGTAAGTACTAACCTTTCATTGTGTTTTTGAATTTTTATTACTTTGAAGAGAATTCAATATATTTAGATATTTTTTCAGTCTCAAAACAAAACTGATGGTTACAAAGAAACAGAAGAGAAAGGGATGATACTAATTTACTAGACAAAAGGCTGTTCTTTTGTAATATGGAGATGGGCAAAATTCAAAGTAGTAGTATTCAAAACAGAGAAGAACATAAGCTAAAGAAAAAAAGGGTTGTTAGACATTGAATAAAAAAAGAACAGTAAAGTTCTCAAAGAGAACTTATTTAATAATTTTAATTAGTGTTTATATTGTCATGTAAAAAATGTAATATATGTTATTTCTGAAAAAAAGACATTTAATAATGATATTTTATAGAAATTAATACTCAAGAGATTTAATAACAACATAAAAACATGTTTAGAATAAGTTAAAAAAATATTGCCCTAATCTTTCAAACTAATTTATTATTTCTCTTCTTATTAATTTGGTCCATATTTATTTCATCTAACGGCGGCAGCTCTTGTTCAGGCATCATTCTGGCTGTATTGTGTAGCGCATTGAAACAAAAATCTAAAAAATTTAAGTACATACATTAAATTTTTTTAAATTTTGTTCTATAATTAAACAGATAATATTTTTCTTAACTCACTGTTGTGCAATAATAATGACATTGTGTTTTGTAATTTTGGTCTTATACCATAAAACACATATTGAAAGTGGCGTTTCCATATAACGATAATTCTGAAACATTTCTTCAGCTCTATTTCTGCATATATCCCCTCAATGCATATGCAATCTCACCTTATAACAGATAATAAAATAATTTAATATAGAGTATATGAACCCTTTGAATATTTTCACATTTAATTTTAAAAATTTCTTTCAATTCATCTTATTCGTAAAATATTTAAAATTGAATACCTACTCAAATATTTAAGGAATATATTTTATATAAATGATCTAACAGTAAGTAAATATACGGACCACTAACCAAGCAGAGTTTAATTTGAAAAGTCACCAGTCTCCAAGCTTGGGTCCTTAATTTCCAAAAATGGTGGCTTCATGCACAGACCCATGCCAACAAGCAATCAAGTCTATAGTTTTAAGACTAGCATTTCCAGTAATTTAAATGTTGGGGAAAATAATGCTTTTCTATTTCTAAATACCTCTCCATCAATACCCCTGTAAAGTATAAGAAACCTTGTGCTGATAAATATTGAAGAAAATATATAGGTACTTACCAGGTGAATGTTTTCTTACATTGTGTTCCATCAACTATCCCTATAATCCCAGGAAACCCAAATATACTATAAAATTGTTGTTGATTTAAGGCAGTTATGCTGTTGTTTCTGGAAATAGTAAAGAACAATGATTCAAAGTATAAATATAATTAATTTATCTTACATTAGATTTACTAGCATTCCAACTTACCTCTCATTTTGATATTCTAGATTTTGTTCAATTAAACCGAGGATATATATTACAGTGTCGTTTAAAAGTCTCTGTGTTTTCAATGAATATACCTACTGATCGACGTCTAGGATATCAAAAGTAATCATCGAACTTACGTAGAGGTATCATAATACACTTTTTAGCTTTCTCAAAGGAATAACAATAATTCTTCCTCGTAAAACAATTTTTTTGTGTCTAAGATAGGTTAAGTGGCCACTAGCCTGGAAATTTGACCGCTTAATTTAAATATAAATTCAAGTTAGATTAAGGCATAGTGCAAGAAAATAAGCTAAACATAATGTTAAGTTTTGCTTAAAAAACTTGGTGCAAACGCCACTACATTGTATATTATCGATATTACTACGTATATTACAAATTAAAATTTAAATTAAAATACACAAAATAACTATTTTAAAATTTTTGATAAAAAAACACCACACCACCGTCACGCCACTGATGGAGTAAAATGACAGAAAGACAGACGAAACTCAACCGTGTTGTCATATTTATGTACCCATCTCTTTTTAACTCTCATAAAAGTGCCAAACCATGTATGATTCTAAAAAATTGAGTTTTATGAATGGAGTGTTCTGTCTACCTATATTTAGATGTCTTTGGTCATTTCCAAGCCAATGGACGCCGTTTTTTTTTTGCGATTATACGGTATTTTGTTTGGTAATTTCTAATGACAAGTTGTATTATAGAGGGTGGGGCTTAAATAAAATAAGCGCAAATATTTTCAGGGCTGGTAGATCTCGATAAAAGAAACATAATATTTTCTCTTTACCGTTTTTCAAATAACTCCAAAATAACCGAATTTTTTTACTTTGAAAATTTCCGAAAAAAATATTAATTTTTTGCTTAAATTTTGAGTACCACTGGCTTTTTTGGGATGATTAACCTTGTTTTGTACGATAACAGGTAATAAAGAAACTATATTATTATAGGAAATCACATTGACATTAGAAGTTATTTTCAAAGACAAAGCGCGCTTGATCACAACATTTTTATCATATGAGATATATTATTCCGTGGTCTGTCCAATGATTGGATAACTGACAGTAACAGTTGTCTTTGTCATTTTAATTTTAGTTTATAGATAATAGTATATGGTTTTATTAGGAGTAAAAATGATACTTTTTGTGGCGAGGCTGTTCGTTTGGACATACAGGCGAGGCACAAAATGTCATTTTAACTCCGAATAGAACATGCTATTTTTTTAAGCGTCACAAATAATTTTTTAAACAAATTTAAACGTTCCAATTAATATAAAAATATTTACAAGTAATACCTTGGACCTTGTATAGATACAGGGTGAGTCAAATTGGACGCTTTTAAAGGGAAACACCCTTTTCTATAGGAGATAGATGAAAACTAATATCGGTGTCTGGAGCTCAATTTTCATCAAAAACATGATGGTGAAAACCGCACATCGATATCGATCTGTTATCGTTTCGGAGTTACGGGGTGTTCTTCAAAAATATGCATTTTTAACAAATCGCTGTAACTTTTTTGGTATAGAAAATTTTGTATTTCTATGAAAATATTTCCAAAGCACCTTTTTACGTAGAATTTAATGGTTTAAGTATAATTTTTTTAAAATTAATAATTTAAGAGTTATCAACAGAAAAATTGACTTTTTATTTGGGACACCCTGTATATTTTGGATTAACTGAAAAGAAATTAAAATTACCTTTCCAAAAATATTGAACACTTGATATTTTGTTATATTTCCCTTCGAAATACAGGATTTTTAAAAGTTCGCCATTTTTAACTAGTAGGCTTTGGACTCCTTATTGATATGCCCCTAATGGAACTCAAAAACATATTTTTCCAGCAAGACGAGGCACCGCCTCAGTACGCTGAAGTTATCAGCAAATCTTTGCAGCAAATTTCAAGAATAATTTAACAGTAACCAAGATCACAGCCGTTGGCCGTCGAGGCCGCCGAACTATGGATATATTTGCGGAAGAATAAAAGTTCTTATTTTTAAATTGCCCGTATAATCTAGACAAGAATTATATATAATTAGTAGTTATGAGAGGGTATCTTTTACCCCCACTGAGTTAATGAATTCTGCGAGAAATGTTCATAAACGGCCCCGTCTGTCCTTAACAGAAGACTGTTGATATGTCGAACACCTGTAGCAAAATCTCATGTCTTGGTTTGCTATTTATTTTTATTGTTATTAGATATAGTTTAAATGTTTTGATGTTTGTTAAATATAGTTTAAATTGTTATAAAATTCTGCATCTCTTATAGCAAATATTATTTTCGTTTTAATTGATGCTCACAGCTAGATTTTTTTTGTATAACAGCCTGCGCCGTTCAAAGCGTACTTTGCGTAAAGGCGAATTTTTATAAACTCGATATCTCAAAGAGGAATCTTGCAAAAGATCAAGTATGCTATATTTTTGGAAAGGTAATTTTAAATTCTTTTCAATGAATTAAAAATATACGGGGTGTCCCATATAAAAAATCAAATTTTCTCTTGATAATTCTTAAATTATTAATTTTAAAAAAGGTATACTTAAACCATTAAATTCTACGTAAAAAGGTGCTTTGGAAATGTTTTCATAAAAATACAAAATTTTCCATAGAAAAAAAGTTACAGCGATTTGTTAAAAATGCATATTTTTGAAAAACACCCCGTAACTCCGTAACGGTAACAGATATCGATTTGCGGTTTTCACCATCATGTGTTCGACAAAAATTGAGCTCCAGACACCGATATTAGTTTTCGTCTATATCCTATAGAAAAGGGTGTTTCCCTTTAAAAGCGTCCAATTTGACCCACCCTGTACATATATCAACAACCTATGGTTATGCTCGTTGAATTTGACGCTTTATGTCAGTTTAATAATATATTTTCGTACTTTTATGCCTAGGTATTAAAATTACTTTTTTATATTGTCAATCACGTCGCAAAAACTAATACTTCTGTGACGTTTGAACAAAATTGTATTTTGTGTTATTTTTTGATATTTTGATGTTTTTTGTCGAAATCTTCCATGACTTATTGCACAGAGTAGTGATTATAATAGAATCTTTTTTGGGGGGATATATCTAAAGTTGTAAAGTCATTGTCATTAAATCTACTAATAAAATATTATAATATTAGATTATTAATTGATTAGAAAAATACTAATTAAAAAAATAATTATAACTCTCAAGCTTATTAAAATTATTCTCAGACTTGATCTAAAGTGATATAACAAATTTCTTATCTTGATATTAAATAAAACCCTGGGAAATGCAAAAAAAATAAACGCCATTTTTTATATTAAATTGTTTTCAAGGCTAAACTAATAACGTTTTCCGTATGTTTCTATACATATGTTATAAATAAAATAGAATATTTAATAATTACGGAGTAAAATTCTAACTGTTCATTATTAACGCACCAACACAAATCTCGTATGTTTTCAATTTTCATATATATATATATATATATATATATATATATATATATATATATATATATATATATATATATATATATATATATATATATATATATATATATATATATATATCAATTCATAATTAAATAATAATATTCAATTGTAACTTTTTGTAAATTAGATAATCACTATTATAGGATTTCGTAGATCAGAGACAATGACCTGGTAGAGTAATTGTATTTTTAAAATAACGACAGAGCAAAAATTGGGGGCACATACATTTAATTTCCTAAATTTTTTTTAATTATTTTAGTGTCAATTTACATGTGCCTATATTTAAAAATTGCCATACTCTATGAATACATAAACGATCAATGACTACTGAACTATGTTTTGAGCCAATCACAAGATCAAGGATCAAAAGTTGATATGGGCCAATTTCTTAATTTTAGAATTTTACAATATTATAGTACGGTTCATACCAAATAAACTTTTAGTCACGTGATTAAACTTGACCAGCACAGCGTTGCCCACTTTTATATATTTTCTTTTAATCAAAATATTTTTGGAAACAAAAATAAATTAATTATAAATATATAAACAGTTATTATTTACATACAACAAAACTCACCTTCTTAACAGCAATTAAGGGACATAAAGGGCCATTATCCCGCTTCCCTGTTCAAATTATTCTAATAAAGTTGCGATGAGTTTTGTACGGCTATTAAGCTAACTTGTACACTTTGCACTAAAAGGGATTCTAAATAGAACAATGTTCGACTGCAAGGTCTGTTAGTAAACATTTTCAAGCTTAAAGTATCACAACACTGTTTATTTAACCCAAAAACTCGTAATACAAAACTAAAGTGTTAAAACGAATGACAATGCCAGGAAATAAATAAATAAATGCGACAACTTGACATTTTTTACCATAAAATAATTAACTAGAAAGAAGTGTCAACTCTGTGTTAAATCGTGGAGACACGATACGCCACCGAAAGCCTTCGTTGTCGTCTGGAGAACTAATTTTCAATTGACAGTTTGACATGATGGCTTCATTTTTATTTCCGTTTCCGGTTATTCAATGGCGGGCACCTCTTTCAGTTTAAATGTATTTTGTACTCTTTCTTGTCATAAATAAAACAAAATAAAAATTTATTCAAACATATTTATTTGAAATGTGAGACAACGTGACTAAATAAATATAAAAAATAAAGAATTGAATGATTTCTATATCAATTACTTAATTATATGCAGTTTTAACGTAAATTAGTAAGGTATAAGCATGACTTACAGTAATTTGTAAATAAATACACATATTCACAGCCTTCAGAAACAGAAAGCGGGGGCAGGAACATGAAAACGGGAGCCTTATACCATAACAAACCAAACCTGAAAACAGAAAAACACATTTTTTATACTAAAATTAACAATGTAAAAATATCAATATAGGTATAAAATATAAATATACTAATTAAAAAGCTCCATTATTCCCAAAGAGACCTGGTTTATGAATCCAAAAGAAGTAAAAGAGACTTTTAATCGGATAACAATCAGATTGTATCAGACAGATTTATTGTATTATTGACAATAAATCTTTTTATACTGGAGAAAACTAATATTGGCTATAGTTAAAAATGATCTTACCTTGCTGTAAATTGTTTCCATTTTCAATAAAATCGCCGATCATAAACATATAACAAAATTTTCTTGCATCTAAAAAACATGGAAATAGTGTTTATTTACTACCTATTCTTAATATATATGGGACATACCTAGTACTGCAGAAACGTCTTTTTCTCCAGGATTTTTCATGTAATATATATTTTATATACTTTATTACCTTTATATTTATAAATTTCAGGCGAAATATCAAATTGAATTTACAAAACAAAACTAAACGGAGAGAATTAAAATGGCGTCGAAATTTGTTCGATTTGTTCTAGAACAAATCTGTCAATTCTAAACTGTGAAGTATGCTGTGAAGTTAGATAATAGTTAGACAGAAACATTGTTGTCCTTGTCTAGGCGGCCATACTTGTCGTCAGGAGATGACAGGAATGACACTAATGACTGTTTCCAATTTTCCTATTTCACTGTCACCCCCCTGTTTTTTACAGCAGAGCTATCACCTGAATCCCCAGCGGGAAATTTAAATTCCGGTTGGTAAACCCGGCGCTGAATATGTCCATGGTTGGCAACAATGAATTTAAAAACTGCGCCGTCGATTACTTAACTAAAAGTTTAATTGATATGAAATACAGGGTTGTTCACCACATACGACACGGAGTATTGTAGCTAAAGCGGCCCTCACACGATCAATAATATTGTCAATATTTTGGATTATTGACAATATTATTGAGCGTTTGAGCGTACATATTGAAGTACTTTCAATATATTGATGGATTTTCGGGACCCTGAAAATACTCGACAATATTAAAGGCGGAGCTAGTCGTATTGACAATATATTGATCATTAGGTCGCATGATTGACAAGATTTGACTAGTTTATTGGTAACCAGGGCGAAAGACGGAACATCGCCGTCGTTGTTTTCACCAGTTTTGGATCGCAATCATCAGCCTCCTGTTTATTAACGTACTCTAGAAGATTTAGTTGACCAAACCTTTTTCTTTTTGATATCTATTTTTTTATCCAACGCCTTTTTATAAATTTTTTTCTCGATTTTTTCTCACTTACAAATGCCAAAATGATGGCAATACACGCTTTTATTATCTTTTATTTTTTGATATAGTGTATAATTCACACTTTATATCTGCACAAAACTTAATATTGATATATGTATTGACCACCTTTCAAATGTTGATAAAACATTGACGTAAGGCCACCTTTCAAATATTGATAAAACATTGACAATAAAAAATATTGGCAATATTATTGATCGTGTGAGGGCCGCTTAAATGATTAGATTTTTACAAATTGTAAGTTTTGGGTTCGTTGAAGGACTATTAGAGCTACAATTTAAAAATATTTTTACAAGATACAGAGTGTCCCAAATAAATAAAAAATATCAAAGTTGTATTTTTTTAAACGGAACACCCAGTATATTATTACATTTTTAGTTTCTACGATTAAAATAAAGGTAAATTTGATTAAGGTTTATTACACTTAAACCTTACCGTTTTTGAAATATTTTCAATTTTGTGAAAATGCAGTAAAAATTTTATGTCTTCATTTCTCCAAGGGTATCAAAGTTTTTAATACTAATTATTTACTGAAGTCTATTTATTGATCAGTTATTGTGTTGCAATAACAAAAATAATACTACCTCATACAGAGTGTTTAAAAATTTATTTTAAATTATATCTAGCTATAAACGGCAATATCTTGTTTAATTTAAATGGAACGCCCTGTATATTTTAGGAGAATCAGATGCACAATTTAAGTGTCTATCAAATTGTATTATACCACATTTTATCTATCCCTTCAAGTTTTCGTAGAAAATGCATTTTCTTATAATTTAGACCTCATTTATCAATATACCCATGGAATATTGACATTTTAGATTGTTTTTAAAGTAACAAATGTATAAAATGTAATATATCGTTTTTAGTAAAATGATAATATTACTAGCCCATTTGTATGCAAAAAGAAAACTATTTAAATCTTTATAAAATAGTATACCATTAATTAAATATACCACCATTATTTCCGCCCAAATACTAATTGTTGGATTCTATCCCTTCCTCCCATCCTTTACCCGAAAAACCTTAGTGGGTACGTAGCCGTAGTCGAGGACGGAGAGAGACAAGATCGGCCGAGTACACAGTGTACACCTCCAAGCGCGCGCTATCCTCAAGTGTTTTGTTCAAGCAAAAAATCAACAGGTACGAGTCCAGAACGGGAATAAAGGTGAGTGCCCACAGTCCTGATACATTAACTCACCTTAATGAACTGGAGCCCCTTAATTCTCGCCCGTAACATTGGTCCTTCCGCCGCAGATCCCTTTCTGAGACTACGTACATATTTTTACTTATACTCAATTAAATTGATTATCATAATTAATTTCTCAAAATTATCTAAATATCATTAATATTTTTTGTAATATATTATTTTAAATATATTCAATAAAATAAATTCTCGAACAAAATCTATATTTATCTTTCTCTTTAACGCAGTAAAAAGGTAGTACATTTTTGTCACTGGTTCCACTGGCCAGGAATTTGCCACCGACCGATCGATTTTTAAATTGCCGTACCGGTGTTAAAGCGATATCTAGCGCTGTTTCGCGATACTGGTCCGGATATTTTTTTCACGCTCAAATTTATCGATACGCATTTAGTCTCAACTCTACTCTGTTCTCTCTCTAATAATAATTTAATTTTTTAATTAATAAATAATAATTATTATTATAATATATAATTAATTTTAATTAAAAAAATAATAATTCTCTCTCTCTCTCTCTCTCACACACACACACATACACTCTCTCAGTGAATTATTCTATTTCTCTCTTACTCTCTTAGTTAATTACTCTCTCTCGCTCTCTCTCTCTCTCAGTTAATTATTATATTCTATAATATTTTATTTTCTCAAAAATATAATAATTATTTTCTCATATAATATTCTATTGTAGAATATATCTTTCTCTCTCTCTCTCTCTCCCTCTCTCTCTCTCTCAGTTAATTACTATATTCTATAATATTTTATTTTCTCACCTTATAAAGTAAAAATATAATAATTATTTTCTCATATAGTATTCTATTGTAGAATATATCATTCTCTCTCTCTCTCTCTCAGTTAATTATTATATTCTATAATATTTTATTTTCTCACCTTATAAGGTAAAAATATAATAATTATTTTCTCATATAATATTTTATTGTAGAATATATCATTCTCTCTCTCTCTCTCTCAGTTAATTATTATATTCTATATTTTATTTTCTCACATTATAGCATTCCATTTCTCTCTTACGCTCTAATTAATTATTATACTATTTTCAAGCTATGTCTGCAGACGCTCGCAAATTAAAAACTCTTATAGCTCAACGCTCTGTAGAACTTACTAAAATTAAAGAACTTAAAAAATCCGCTGATCAAGCTCTTGAAGATCCGAATTTTCACCCCTAACTTTAGATGTAGAGCAAAACACTTAGAAGATATTTATAAAAACTTTTGATAAGATTCATAATAATATAATTTTATTAGTTTCCGCACAGGATAATGGCGATATTGATCCTCATGTCAAAATTCAAACTGAATTTAATGATTATTATTTTCACATTGAAGCATTATTCACAAATTTATTTCCGCAAACGAAATCGGAGCTGGATACTACACAATTACAAAACACTACTGCTCAATGTTCGGTAAAACTTCCTAAAATTGAGGTACCCCATTTTGATGGTGAATTTAAACATTGGCAAACATTCATCGATATGTTTGATTCTCTTATACACTGTAACTCATCTCTTAGTGATATATCGAAATACAACTAGTGAGTTTCTTACGAGGTCCTCCTTTAGCTTTGGTATCTAGTACTCCACTTGCCAATCAAAATTATAATATAGCATTTCAAGCCTTAAAAATAAATACGATAAGAAACGTTTGATTGCAAAAGCTCACTGGCAGGCTCTAGAAAATATTAAGCCCATCTCTAACGAAAATAATCACGAAGCTCTAAGAAATATGATTGATATTTATACTCGTAATATTACAATTTTAAATAACTTGGGCTTTCCCACCGAGAGCTGGAGTTTTGTACTTTTTAATATGATTTATGATAGACTTCCAGAAATTTTGCAAACTAATTTTGAACTGGAATGTGGCTCTGTTTTATCACAAGATATGCTATACCTCAAATCATACGATACACTCATTGAATTTTTAGAAAAACAATGTTCAGCTAAAGATACAATCTCTCTAACTAAATCGTTTTCTCATTTTAATAAAAATAGTAATTATGACAAAACCAAAACTAAGTATTCTCAAAAAGGTTATAAAAATAAACCTACCTCTTCCTTTGTTGTCAACACTCAGTTGAAACAAAATTTAACTTGTCAAGTTTGTAACAAGGATCATTTTATTTATAACTGTCCAGATTTTATTGCTTTTACTCCAAAACAGAGATATGATTTAATTAAATCCCGAAGTTGGTGCTCAAACTGCCTCGGCACTAGACATTCTTCTAAGAGTTGTATTTCTCGTTCCTCATGCCGAACTTGTGGCAAAAAACATCATTCGCTTTTACATTTCGAAGGTCAAATAACAACTCCTGTAAACGTTCCTCCATCCACTTCATCGCAAACTCTTCCAGTTCTGCAAGCAAGCAGCTCTATCTCAGAAGTTGTATCTACAAATTTATTTGCAAAACATAAGAATAAAGCTCTTCTTTCTACAGCATTAATCAATGTTCAAGATGCGTGGGGTAATTTTCATGTAATACGCGCTGTAATTGACAGTGGAAGTGAAAGTCACTTTATTTCAAAATCTTGTTTTAATAAATTAGGTTTATCTAAATTTTTCCTCCCCATCCAGTTGTGTGGCATCGGGAAAAATATTTCCAAAGGTTCTCATGGTGTTAGATGCAACATTAAACCTATTGGAAAGTCTGATCCGGTCTACTCCTTGGAGTTTATCATATTAAATGAAATTAGTGATAATTTACCGATTAATTCTCTTCCCGTTGAACAGTTCTCAAAGTTTTCTCAATTGCCCTTAGCTGATCCCAACTTTCACCTCTCTAAACCCGTAGATATACTTTTGGGTGCAGATATTTATGGTTTCTTGATAACAGGAAACAAACTCCTCTCAGATCCAGATCAACCCGTCGCTTTAGAAACTATATTTGGATGGATAATTACAGGAAGAGTTAAAACATCTAGTGTTTCGCTCTCTGTAAACTCATACTTTCTTACCTCTTATGCTTCCTTGGATCAATCACTTCAAAGATTCTGGGAGTTAGAGGACGTTCCACAATCCTCGACGCTTTCTTCAGATGAAAAGCTTGCCGAAGAACACTTTTTGTAAAACATTTTCACGCACTCTTTCTGGACGTTATAAAGTATCTTTACCATTTAAAACTTTGGAACCGATCTTTGAAGGTTCTAGAGATGTCGCCCCTTCGTAGATTTTTCTCGCTCGAAAAACGATTGCTTCGAAACCCCCAATTGTATTCTCAATATTCTAATTACATGCGTGAATATTTAGATTCTCAATATATGATTGCCGTGCAAAATCCTTCTTCTCCCAACGCTCATTCTTATTATCTGCCGCATCATTGCGTAATCCGACCAGATAGTCTCAACGACCAAACTTAGAGTTGTTTTGATGCTTCCGCCCGAGATTACACAAATAAATCTTTGAATGACACTCTCTTAACTGGGCCAAAATTACAGTCAGATATTTTATCTATTTTACTTCGATTTAGATCGCATTTGATTGTATTTGCTAGCGATATTAAACAAATGTTTTGTCAAATTCTTGTTAATGAAAATCATACTGAATACCTCAAAATTTTATGGCGATTTAACGCTAATGAGCCCATTCAAGAATACAAACTTACTCGCGTTACTTTTGGTTTAAGCTGTAGCCCATTTTAGCCATTCGAGTTATAAAACAAATTGCTTTAGAAAATTTAGTAAAATATCCCGAAGCATCAAAGATTTTAGATATGGATACGTATGTCGATGATATTATATCTGGTTGCGATTCTCTTTCTCTTGCTATAAAAATTCAACGCGATCTCATTTCTATACTGGAACACAGCGGTTTTGAACTTAGAAAATGGACTTCGAATAGCTCAGATTTTCTTTCTCAGTTATCTCCAAATGAATGCAAAAATGGATTCTTCTCTCTTTAAATATAAATTCTCTTTCTTCCTCTAAAGTTCTAGGACTAAACTGGAATCCCTCTACAGATGAATTTTTCTTTGATTCACCAGCGTTGTCCTTGACAAACAAAATCTGTAACAAACGCAATATTCTTTCACAACTCGCAAGCATATTCGATCCCTGTGGCATGTTGGTTCCTCTCACTCTTCACCTAAATCTGATTATACAAGATTTGTGGAAGTTAGGTATAAATTGGGATGATCCTGCTCCCAATAACATTGCTACTTCTTGGTATCAACTCGTTCAAGAATTACCTTGTATTTTCTCTCTCAAAGTTCCTCGATATTTTCTCACTCTCAAATATTTATCCCTGGAAGTACATGGTTTTTGTGCGATGCTAGTGAAAAAAGGCTATTGTGCAGTAATTTATTTTAGGATAATTCTTCCAGATAACTCTGTAAAACAAATTTTGTCTGCGCTAAAGGCAAAGTAGCTCCACTCAAAAAAATCTCAATTCCAAGACTGGAACTCTGTGCAGCCTTACTTCTGACCAGGTTAATTGATTTCGTTAGAACTTCTCTTTCTAATAAACTTATTAATGTTAGTACGATTGCATGGTCCGACTCGATGGTTGTTTTGCATTGGCTTAAAAGTGAACCATATAAGTGGAACACCTTTGTAAGCAATCGAGTTTCCCAAATTCAAGAGAAATTACCTCCTTCTTGTTGGCGTCATGTAGTCTCCAAAGACAACCCCCTGATCCAGGTTCTCGTGGTCTTCAACCTAGCGAGTTACTCGACAATGCCTTATGGTGGGCGGGACCTCCATGGCTAAGCCAACCGGAATCTTATTGGCCGCAATCAATCTTTACTTTCCCTGAAATTGAAGAAGAACAACGAAAAGTTATATTGACATGTACTTCACAGCCCTCATTGTTTGATACTCTCTTTGAAAAGTTCTCTTCTTTCTCTAAAATTATAAATATTGTCACGTTTTGCAGACGCTTTCTCTATAATACTCGACATTCTAAATCTCGTAAAACCTCTCCTCTCTCGAAATTTGAAATAAATGAAACTCTAGAATGTATTATTAAATGTGTTCAATCACAATATTATGCTAGGGAAATTCTCTTAATAAATAATTGCAAATCTCTACCTAAATACTTAAGAAAATTGACCCCCTTTATCGACACCAATGGAATTCTTAGAGTTGGTGGTCGCTTGCGCAATGCTTCTCTAAATTTCTCTCAAAAACATCCCGCACTCTTACCCAATAATCATAAATTTACTACTCTACTCATAGAATATACTCATAAACTCTATTTGCATCCCGGTCCCCAAACTCTTCACTATATTCTCGCTCAACAATACTGGATTGTTTCTGCTAGAAAAACAATTCGTAGTGTTCTCTTTAAATGTCCTCAATGCTTTCGCGCTAATCCAGTAATGCCTCAGCCTCCTATTATGGGAGATATTCCTGCTGTAAGACTTTCTCAAGTAAAACCTTTCTCTGAAGTTGGATGCGACTATGGTGGTCCATTCTCTTTATTAAGATATCGTGCACGAGGTGCTAAGTCCTGTAAAGCCTATATTTGCTTATTTGTGTGCATGGCCACGAAAGCTTTGCACTTAGAACTGGTTTCCGACCTTTCCTCCGAGACTTTTCTGGGTGCACTGCGTCGATTCATTTCTCGTAGAGGTCGCTGCAATCATATTTATTCCGATTGTGGAACGAACTTTGTCGGAGCTTCTAGAGAACTGATTAATATGCTAAAATCCGCCGCTGAGCAAGAACAAATTTCCTGGCACTTCAATCCTCCAAGCGCGCCTCATTTTGGTGGCCTGTGGGAAGCAGGAATAAAGTCTGTAAAAACTCACATTAAAAGGGTCATTGGTGATCAATTGCTCACGTATGAGGAATTTTATACGCTACTGGTTCAAATAGAAGCAGTGCTTAATTCTCGTCCATTGTGTCCACAAAGCTCTGATCCTAATGATTTGTCAGTTCTTACTCCAGGACATTTTTTAACCCTAGAGCCGTTAAACGCCCCTCCGGAAGATATCTTTCCGGGATAAAATTAAATCATCTCTCTCGCTGGCAGTTGATATCACGCTTGCACCAAAGCTTTTGGAGCCGATGGTCTAAAGAATACCTTCAAACACTTTTACAAAGAGCTAAATGGAATGACTCTACTATTCCAATAGAAATAAACTCGGTTGTTTTAATAAAGGATGATAATCTTATTCCGCTCAAATGGAGCATTGGAAGAGTCTTAGAGATTCACCCGGGCCATGATCGTGTTACCCGCGTGGTTACTTTAAAAACAGCAAAAGGCATTCTTAAAAAGACCAGTGACAAAGATATGCCCACTGCCTTACTGCAAATCTCATAATTAAAATTTACTCTAAAAAAAAAAAACATAATCGCAAAAAAAAACATAATCGCAAAAAAAACATAATCTCATTATAAACATAATTAACATCTCTTATTTAATTACTTTTCTCTACTCTATAACAAATGTAAACTCTCTTAATATTTAATTAAATTACACTCATGCATTAACCCCAATAATGCATTTTTCTAAATTCCTCTAAATTTAACTTCATAAATTTCACTCTTACTTTCTTTTAAACATAACGCATTTTACACTTTTTTTATTTTTTACTTTACTATTCTCAAACGAAAATGGAAAATATTTCATTTTGGTGGGCGGTATGTTGGATTCTATCCCTTCCTCCCATCCTTTACCCGAAAAACCTTAGTGGGTACGTAGCCGTAGTCGAGGACGGAGAGAGACAAGATCGGCCGAGTACACAGTGTACACCTCCAAGCGCGCGCTATCCTCAAGTGTTTTGTTCAAGCAAAAAATCAACAGGTACGAGTCCAGAACGGGAATAAAGGTGAGTGCCCACAGTCCTGATACATTAACTCACCTTAATGAACTGAGCCCCTTAATTCTCGCCCGTAACACTAATTAATTACATACTTAATTATGTTCGTTAATAAATTATTCTAAATAAATGTGGATTTGAATCAGAAATCAATAAAATAATAAGTTATGAAAATGAATGTCTCTGTTGTTATAAATAAGCATTTGTCAAAAAATGAAATATCATTTTCAAGGTGTTACTTTTTACCACACTCTCTAATACACATACAAAATTCAGTTTTTTACTATATTTGGAGCAATTATTATTAACAACGCAAACAGTCAATTAATGTAGTTTGAATACTGGAATCATATTAATTGGTCCTCAAATGGATTAACAAATATTTAAACAGTTTTTTTATATTTTAATGAAATACACAAACTATTTCGATAATATTAGTATCCGTACTCTTTAAAAATTTGGTACATCTTTAAAAATAATCTAAAATGTCAGTATTCCATGGGTATATTGATAAATGAGTTCTAAATTACAAGAAAATGTATTTTCTACGAAAACTTGAAAAGATAGATAAAAAATGGTATAATACAATTCGATAGACAATTAAATTATGCATCTGATTCTCGCAAAATATACAGGGTGTTCCATTTAAATTAAACAAGTTATTGCCGTTTAAAGCTAGTAATTATTTAAAATAAAATTTTAGACACTCTGTATAAGGTAGTATAATTTTTATTATTGCAACACAATAACTGACCAACAAATAAACTTCAGGAAATTTTTAGTGTTAAAAACTTTTGATACCCTTGGAGAAATGAAGCCTTAAAATTTTGACTGCAATTTCACAAAATTGAAAATATTTCAAAAACGGTAAGGTTTAAGTGTAATAAACCTTTACCAAATTTACCTTTATTTTAATCGTAGAAACTAAAAATGTAATAATATACATGGTGTTCCTTTTAAAAAAATACAACTTGTAAAAATATTTTTAAATTGTAGCTCTAATAGTCCTTCAACGAACACAAAACTTACAATTTGTAAAAATCTAATCGTTCAGCTACAATACTCCGTGTCGTATGTGGTGAACAACCCTGTATATTCATATAATTTCAATAAAGAGATCATATTACATCATCTCTACAAATCCTACATTCTTATTCTTAAAATCACAGTTAATAGATTAAAGTCTGCAAACAAGACATTCAAAGCTCTATTTTATTTCAATTGTCTTACATTTAATAACGTGGCGGTACAAATATAGAGCTAGTCCAGAGTTTGTGTAGCTTCGTGTTCAGTTTTACTGTGCCCA